GGTCGGGGGGCATAACCCGATGGGCCTCTGACTTCACTCACATCTGGGACAATTGCCTCGGTGTACAGAAGGGTTCCCTTCTCTTGTTCTCCCTGTATCACAAGTTCTGATTAATACAGAATGGGAGGTGAGGTCGGGTAGCAGTTTCGTTGTTGGGGCCATCAAGGCCAAGGTTTCTGGGTGCGGGTACGCAGCTGTCGGGGTGACCGGTCCTTGGGAACTGTCTCCTACCTTTGGGGCACGTGGAGATCAGGGCACGTTTGTGGGTGAGCTGCTGGTCCAAGTGGGCAGCTCTGGTGGCGGGGGAGGGGTGTTGTGCCAGAACATGAGCTTACGTGTCCTGGCCGGGCACCCTGACCCTGAAGCACTGACAGGGTTATAACTCAGCTTCTGATTTCTCTCCTTCCTGCCCTAGAGGATGCCTTGTTTTGCAAGGGCGCGATGAACTTGCTCTTCAGCCTCCACGTGGCGCATAAGAGCCCTGTCGCCCTGCTGCGTGACCTGTCCCAGGACATCCACGGGCACCTTGGGGACATAGACGAGGTAGAGGGGCAGCCTTCAGCACAGCACTGGGGGTGAGGGCCAGGGCACAGCCTACAACGTTACAGCTCATTCTCTCTCGCTCCCCAGGATGTGGAGGTGGAGAAAACAAACCACTATGCGGTGGTGAATTTGCGAACAGCGGCCCCTACCGTCTGTGTAAGTCCTGATCCCGGAGCATGGGAAACAGCCCTGTCATCCTTCCCACTTTATGTCCCCGAAGAGTGACTTACAGTGACTTACGTCCTGGGCCTGTGACCCACCGCAGGCGGCCGTGGCTATTCTGTTTGGCCGCCGAGGGCAGTGGCCATGGCAGGCATCCCTTCCTTTCACAGCTGCTGGTTCTGAGTCAGGCCGAGAAGGTCCTGGAAGAAGTGGACTGGCTGATCACCAAGCTTAAGGGACAAGTGAGCCAAGAAACCGTATCAGGTGAGACGAGTTCAGGGTGGGGTGCCGGGTGTCGGGAGGAGAGCAGCGTCCACCAGGGTCCAGCCCGGACCACTGCCTGAGCTGTGTGTGTGAGCGAGGTCTCCCGGGGCTGCACGGTGGCTTCTGACAGCGGGTGTCCCTTCACTGTGCGTGGCGAGTCATATGCTCATTTTCCCTGCAGACCTCCTAGTTAACAGTGTCGATTTCTGAGGCTCCTCCACTTTAACTAGAATGGAAGGCCATGCCCTGGTTGGTTTGGCTCAGTGGATCGAGCGTCAGCCTGTGGACTGAAGGGTCCCAGGTTCGATTCCGGTCAAGGACACATGCTGGGGTTACGGGCTTGACCCCCAGCAGGGGGCGTGCAGGAGGCAGCCGATCCATGATTCCCTCTCATCATTGATGTTTCTATCTTTCCCTCTCCCTTCCTCTCTGAAATAAAATAATATATATTTTTAAAAAAAAAGAAAGGAAGGAAGGCCTGCTGGGTTTGAACGCGCCAATTTCATCTCCCTTCAGAAGAGGCCTCTTCCCAGGCAGCCCTCCCGAACCATCCCGTGGAGAAAGCCGTCATCATGCAGCTGGGCACGCTGCTCACCTTCTTCCACGAGCTGGTGCAGACCGCCCTGCCCTCGGGCAGCTGCGTGGACACCCTGCTAAGGGACCTGTGCAAGATGTACACCATTCTCACCGCACTTGTCAAGTATGTGAGTATCTGAGCGAGGACCAGGGTCACCACCACTGTCCCCAGCGGGTCAGGAGACCGGCCACGTCCTGGTTTGGTCAGTAGGTGGCAGGCGTCCCCACAGGCCAGGAGGAAACAGTTGGTGGCCTCTATTTCCTTGGCATATGAATATGTGGCACCTGATTGAGAGTGAATGCCTTGCGCTAGCCTGTTTGGTTCAGTGGATAGAGCGTCAGCCTGCAAACCAAAGGATCCTGGGTTCATTTCCGGTCAAGTGCATATACCTTGGTTCCAGGCTCCTCTCTGACCCGGGCCCATGCAGGAGGCAACCAATCGATGTGTTTCTCTCACATCGATGTTTCGCTCTGTCTTTCCCTCTCTCTTCCATTCTCTCTGAAAATCAATGGGAAAATATCCTCAGGTGAGGATTAAAAAAAAAAGTGAATGCCTCTTCAAACATCTTCTAAGACTCAATCTGGATGTAGGGACTGTCCCTGAAGGGTTTTTAAAGCGATGAGCTGAACAAGTTCAAAATAAACCCTTCCTGTCGGGTCGGCGTGGCTCAGTGGTTGAGCACTGACCTATGAACCAGGAGGTCACGGTTCCATTCCCAGTCAGGGCACATGCCCGGGTTGCGGGCTCGATTCCCAGTGTGGGGTGTGCAGGAGGCAGCCAATCAGTGATTCTCCCTCATCATTGATGTTTCTATCTCTCTCTCCCTTCCTCTCTGAAATCAATATAAATATATATTTTTGGGGGACGGGGACACCTGTCCTGTTGGTGGAGCTAGGAGCTCTGAGGAAGGGAAAGGAAGCCTGTGAACCTTTAGCGTGTGGGACATTTGCATAGGATGACACACTAAATCCAGGAATCTTTTGTTAGTATATCCAGGTGTGTCGGAGCGCCAGAGGAATTCCAAAGATTATGGAGAAGCTGGTGAGTTGGGAATGCCTTCCTCAGGAGTGGGGGAAGCTGTGTTGTTCCTGCGCTTACATCGGCTTCCTCTTCCTTTGCTGCAGGTGAAGCTGTCGGGTTCTCACCTGACCCCTGTGTGCTATTCCTTCATTTCTTACGTGCAGGTAAGTGGTTCAGAGGTCGTGCCATAGTTGATCTCCATGTGAGAGAGGGCTCCCTGCGTTCCCCGGGGACTGCGTGGTCACCTGAGCCGAGTGTATGTAGTTTCTTACATGAGCCCAAGGTGCCCAGGTGAGACCAAGCCAAGGCCTGAGATCTGTGCAGCAAGGAAAAGGTGTGTCTGATTTGGTGAGAGACACATGCAATAGGCTTGCATTTAGAGCCGGGAAGGAACGGGTGTGCTGAGCTCAGCGACTTGGTTTATTTCTGGGGGATTCCGATCCCATGGGCCTGCGAGTTGAGTAGCAGCGAGCCGGTGAAGAAGGGCCAAGCTCGGGCGGAGGAAAGAGCAGCCTCGTCAGGGAGAATCACACTAGGACTAGTTTGTGTATTCTAGGTCTTTCCCCCTTTCCCGTCCATATTTGACTTAAAGCCTTACAGGTCAGCTGACCCACAAGCAAACACTGTTCTCTGATGGTGAGCACTTCATAGAAAAACCAGGGTTTCCTTGTGGGGAAGCCCGGGACTTGGTTGGAAAGTCTGTAAGGAGGATTCTCCGAAAGGGCAGGGGGGCTCTAGGGAGACCTTGTCGAAGGCAGCAGCCCCTGCCTTGACTTTTCCAAACAAGTCCGAGCTCCCGTGTGTTTTGCTAGAATCTCTGTTTAGTCTTTAGACATGACCTTGTAGAAGCATGTGCTTTCTCAAGGATACTCACCCTGCTGGTTGTGTCTAGAGGTTAATTTGAGTTCAAGCTGTGGTCACAATAAAAGCCTGAGGAGGCAGGCGAACGGGGCTGTTTGGTTGCTGTAGCCAGGCAGCCCCTTAGCCCTCTCTTTCACAGAAACGTGTGTCAGAGTAATCCATTCATCCGTGGCTCAGGGGCTGCTGGTCAGCCCCGGCCTTGCGTTTGCACATCTTTCAGAAAACGGTTCCCTCTTACAGCCCCTCCTGCTCTCACATGGTTCCCGCGCTGTAACTTCTGTCCGTTTCCAGGGCTGTTTCTCATCCTCTTCCCTGCCCCACAGGCCATGGTATGCCTGGGCCTAGGAGGCATAGGACTGCCCTGGGGGTGAAGGCTCCTGTTTGTGTGCCTCACACGGGGCGGCTTGTATGCATCTCAGATCTGCCTTATCAGAACCCTGTACTTCCTGTCCCCTTCATCCGTTCCTACTTTCTCAGCCCCTTATTCTCAGATTAGCTACAGCATTGAGAAGTGTCCTGGGACTTGAAACCCTTCTCCAGCGTGTGACCACATGGCTTAGAAGACACATCTGGTGGTTGCCTCTGGGCGGGAAGGCTGCAGGCCCGGGAACTGCCTCTCCACCTCCTCTCCTTCAGGGAACCCTTTGAGCAACAGCTGAAACTCCCCTTTAACTGGCCGCCTATGCCTCCCTGGCCTGGTGCAGGAACCTTGGTCCTGCCCTCGCCTCCATGTGCTGGTTCCGGGAGCCAAACTGCAAACCTCACAGCAATGGAGTGAGGGCTGTGGGTGTCACATGCTTCCCATCCCCTACACCAGCTGCAGGACAGTCCCCTTAGCCAGGCTCGGTCCCCCCGGGAGTCCCCATGCCCGGCTGGACCCACCGCCTAGAAAACGACCTGCTGGTCTTCGGGAGTAAGAGGATGGTTTCTGTTCTAGAACAAGAGGAGCAGGAGCCCGCAGTGCCCAGGAGGAAAGAAGAAGAGCGCTGCTGCTGGAGCCGTGGCCATGGTAAGCCGAGGGCGCGCTCGCCAGTGTGGCTGCTGGCGGAAGCGTCACAGAAATGAGACCGGGCAGGTCTAAGGGGACAGGAGGTGGCTAGTGGTTACCTGGAGCTGGGATCGGATTGGAGACTGGGAGGTGCCTGCTAAGGGGGCTGCAGGCTGCTTCGTGGGCATGAAGATGCTCAAGTATTTCTAAGGGGAGATGGTTGCACAATCTGAATATACTAACACGGGACGGTACAGTGGAAAGGGGTGGATTGTGTGGTATGTGAATTGTATCAGCGCTGCTACAGAACTGTGTGTGGCTGCTGCTCAGCTAACGGATGTTATGTTCAGATGGAGCATCGGTTTTCCTCTGAACCAAAAAACATACGCTTTATTCAGGAAGCTCCAGAAAATGTTGAGCTTTTGCTTTAAAAATAGAAACAGCTTGGGGTGCGCTCTGGGAGGGACCTTTGAGGAAAAGTGGGTGAGAGCAGAAGGCACTGCTCCAACCTCGGGGGCAGGTAGGCAGGAACCGCTGGGTTTTAGGAGATCTAGACACTCACCCTGGATACAGTAATCCCACCTTCAGGGTGTTATCACTAACAGGACTGGAAAATGGGTTTTAGTACATTTACACTGTAGAATACTGTGCTGACGTGAAAAAATAAAATACTGCCGCAAGATAGTATTTAAAAAAAAAAAATCATGAGAAGTGCCCTCATTTGTGGGGGGTTTAACTATATAGAAGCACATGCAAACGGGAACTTCATCTCAGTAGTGAAAATTCACGTGCAGACTAGAAAGGGGAGGTAGAGCCAGTGCAGTCTTAAAATATCGAGTCAGCCCTAGCCGGTGTGGCTCAGTGGGTAGTGTTGGCCTGCAGACTGAAGGGTCCCAGGTTTGATTCCGGTCAAGGGCACATGCCCAGGTTGTGGGCTCGATCCCCAGTGGGGGGTGTACAGGAGGCAGCCGATCCATGATTCTCTCTCATCATTGATGTTTCTGTCTCCCTCCCCCTTCCTATCTGACATCAGTAAGAGAGGCAACCACAGTTCTCCCGATGGCCCTTCCCTGGCCAGCCTCTAGGTACCAGCAAGTACTTAGGGTAATAAGTGGAAGGACTCCGTGTGCTCTCTGCTGGCATTGAAGTCCTTTGATGAGATGGAACTGCCAAAGGTCTTAGGTGGCTGGTACCTCAGCAAAAGGGCGTTTGATTGGAAGATGGCCCAGCGTTCCCCAAAGCCATGGCGGTTCTGACAGCTTTGGAGGACCTCAGGGACCCCTGAACCTGAACGTAGGGCTTCTCTCCTGCAGGCCAGAGTTCTTCGGGAAACCAAGCCAATCCCCAACCTCATCTTCGCCATCGAACAGTATGAGAAATTCCTCATCTTCCTCTCCAAGAGGTCCAAGGTAAACACACTCTCTTCTCTTCTACCCGTTCATTTACCTGGAGGGGACCTGCCACTGAGGCAGCCAGGCTGCGCGGGGAAGGTGCAGCCCTTTCTGTTCCTCACCTGACGGCCTGAATTCAGACATCACGTAGGAAACTGGTGGAGCCCTGCCGCCATGGCTCAGTGGTTGAGCACCGACCTATGAACCAGGAGGTCACGGTTTGATTCCCAGTCAGGGCACATGCCTGGGTTGTGGGCTCCATCCTTAGTAGGGGGCGTGCAGGAGGCAGCTGGTCAATGAATCTCATCATTGATGTTTCTATTTCTCTCTCCCTCTCTGAAATCAATAAAAATCTATTTTAAAAAAGAAAGAAAAAAACTGGTGGGAAAGCAGAGCCAGGGCGTGTGCTCGCTTTAAGTAGGACCTGAGGGGTGTAGGCGAGGCTGTGGGGCAGCCCTGCACGTGCAGCACCAGCAGCATGTGCCGCGCTTGTGTCCGTGCAGGTGAACCTGATGCAGCACATAAAGCTCAGCACCTCTCGGGACTTCAAGATCAAGGGGAACATCCTGGACATGCTTCTCCGGGAGGGGGAGGAGGAGGAGGAAGAGGAAGAGGATGACGAGAACAAAGAGGTTGGTGTCTGCTTCCGACTGGGGGCAGGAGTCCTGCCACCCTTCCCAACAGGCTGCTGGGAGCCTGTCTGGGAGCAGCCGCAGGAAAAGGGGGGGGGCAACAGCCAGACAGAGGATGGGCTGAAAGGGCGCCAGGCCAAGACACAACTAAACCCTCAAGAGGAGGAGGTTCAGAAGCTTGGAGCCACACCCAGGGGCCCACACTTATATGCATTTGGGACACACATTTCCAGACGGGGTGGTGACGAAACGAGGTCTGTCTGTGGGTGAAGCATTGAAGCTGACCACCCGGCCCCAGTGTTCTGGCTCAGGACCTGCTGTGCTGCCTCCTCCCTCCTCCCTCCTCCCTCCTCCCTGGACCTGTTCCCCTCCTTTGGTTTCAGTTGATAGCACACCCTGGGCCTGCAGCACCTTTGAAGCAGGGCCCAGAGTTGGACAAATGCTCTAATTTCTGGCTTCTCAAAACTTCTGCCCCACACACTGTCCCACTCCAGGCCATGGTGTCCCTGCCCCGTCCACTCCCTCGACCTGCTTGGCGCTGGAGGTGAGCATTTTGGGGCTCCTCCTCTGCCATCTTGTCCCGTGCATCTCCCTGGTTAACAAAGGTCCAGAGACACAGTGTCCACTGCCTGCCTCTGCCCGGAGGCCTCCCTCCCCCTGCGGCGCAGCTACCCAGGCTCCGATGAGAAGATAAAGGATCTGTTTATTTCCGGGCCTCTGAGCAGGGTGGTCCCCGTCTCCTTCTAGGACACCACGTCAGAGCACGGAGAACAGAACAAAGAACCCGCCAAGAAGAAAAGGAGAAAAGAAACGAAATGCCTGAGTTAATGTGCCCTTTGGGGCTTCTGCTTCCTGTTTACCCGACCAGCAGCACGGCCCCTGGTCCGACAGCCTGCACTGACGTCGGCCTCTTGTTTCTGAACCCGTTGAACTCAGCTGCACCTTCTGTGACAGGCGGGCCTCCCTGGCAGGGCCTGCTCCTGGCAACGCGCAGCCGAAAGCCTGAGTGTGGGCGCCGCGCACCCGGTGAGCTCCACGGGAGCAATGCCGCCTCGGCGGCTACGGGCCCGGCCGGCCGCGCCTCTCCAGGGAGCCTTTGGTGAGTTCCAGGACCTGGTAGATATCCAGCGCTTCGCCTGGAAGAGAGCAGGTTGCTAACGACACTATCTGGGCATGGGGCTCGGGGCTCACTCCCTGTGCTTCTGTATAAAACGTTTGTCTTAGATACACTTTCTATAGAAGGAGGCTTTCTGGTTGTTTGGTGTTCAGGGCACAGCTTTTTTTCACTTAAGAATGCACTTTGACTTTGCACAATAAACCTTTAAACGTGGCCGGTGTGGTTGGAGAGGGAGAGGTGCAGATGGAAGAACCAGAGCCGCCAACATGCCTGCCATCACTCCTGTGAGCACACCCTGGAGGCGCAGCCCCTCGGGGTTCACGTCCCGCTCCCGGGGGGCCCAGGGCACGTTATACACACGTAGCCGACCTGCTTGCTAAGAGGGGACTCGCCCTCCGGTGCCCGAGCTTCCTGTGGCGCAGAGCGCTGCCCAGGGCCCCTCACCTCCCACCCGTAACGAGAGGCACAAAGGCGTGTGTGTGCTCACCCTGGGGAACCCCGTATCTCCTTTCCATCCCCGTCGGGTTGGAGGGGGTCTTACAATCCATGGTCACTTCCTTCCTGAGACACCGGTCAATGTCGACGGCGCTGAAAAAGGCGACTGACTGGGGCAGGTCATTGAGGCCCAGCTTGTAGGCGAACATGCACCTGAAAGAGACCGGCCCGCTCAGCTGCTCCTGCCTGCGTCCCGGGAGCCAGCGCCCCCGCCTTCCCACGCCCCACAGGGAGCTCCTGAGAGGCAGGGATGGCACACGTCACTGATGTAAAAATTCCCCTCATCACTTGAGTATACAAGGACTTTGTTAGCTCGTTACGCAAAGCCCCCTGGGACACAGTGCAGAGGGCACTGGAGACAGGCCGCGCATTGTAAACACTCGTTGTTTACCGTTAATCAGGACAGAGCGCGGCTCCCACTGGTTCTAGTGGCAGATCAACACGGAACTGTGCTATCATTTAATGCAACCATATAAGTGAAATTCTACTATGAGAAAATGCAACCCAATATATAAGGTATAAATTATTGTAAAATCACATGTGAATTTCCCCATTAACCATTCCTCTGTTAGGAATCAGAATAACCAGCTTCTGGCACTGAAGGAAACGTTCACAGATAAAGGTGTGTTCTTAGGGGGCGCTATTTGAGAGCTACTATTTGGGAAAACGCCCCTGACCCGCCTGCTCACCAGTTCAGTGTTCTAATTTTAAAGAGAAATCTTTAAAAGTTGAAGACCAGCCTTAAGACTTTAAAAAGCTATAGAGAAAAGCTAAAATATCCACTTCGGGGAGATGAGAGCTCAGATCCCACTCATCCTGGCCCAAGGCCCGGCCCACCTGGTCAGCAGGTTGGTGATCTGCAGGGCCAGGGCCGCGCGGTAGCGGTCCTCCTCGCGCACCAGGTAGCGGACCTCGTCGTGGATGCTGATGCAGAAGCGCCCGTCGATGGCGAACTCCTCGAACAGCCACTTCATGGCCACGAGCATGAGGTGCAGGTAGTCCACGGCGGAGCTCTGCACCACCCAGTTCACCCGGCTGGTCATGAACTGGGGAGGGAGATGGGGGGCGTGCTAGTGAGGGATCCTGCCCACATCTGTGCCTCCCTCCCTCCTGTGACCTCCCGTGTCCACGCAGTACCTCCCCCTGAGCCACTGAGGGCTCCAGGGCCCGGCTGATGCGGCAGCCCAGCACCGGGGTGCGTGGCTCGTCGGCCGTGGCGATGCTCTCCAGCTTGTTGAACATCTCTGACTCCGTGCCCCCCGTCCACATACGTTCCGCAACCACGTTCCACTTCTTCCCGCGGGACCTGGGGACCAGAACAGACGGAATGAGCATTGTCTTTCCGTATCAGCTCATCCCAGCTCCCAGGGCCCGTCTGGACCCTCCATCCCTCCCTCCACACGCAGAGGGTTCTCACTTTCTCGAAGCTTCCCTCTGGACCTTGCGCAGATCCTGCAGGGAAACGCAGCCGTCCTCGGTCCTCTCCACGGGGATGTTCAGCTGCCTCACCAGCCACTCACCCTCATCAGACAGCCGATACCTGGGGGCAGGTCACCACCATCACTCCCATGGGAGTGTGCTCTGTGCCAAGCCCCGGGCCCCTGCCTGTCCCCCACAGGCTCACTTCAGAGGCCGAAACGGGCACGGAGAGGCTGGCAGAGCCCCGACAGGAATCCACGCTTTGGGTTATGCCAGGGTAGCTGCCTGTCCCAAAGCCTTAGACGCAACTGCCAAAGGACTGGCAGATTTTTAAAAATATAGATATTTTTATTGATTTCAGAGAGGAAGGGAGAGGGGAAGAGAATCATTGGTCAGCTGCCTCCTGCATGCCCCCTACTGGGGATCGAGCCTACAACCTGGGAATGTGCCCTTGAACCGAATCGAACCCGGGACCCTTCAGTCTGCAGGCCGACGCTCTATCCACTGAGCCAAACCGGCTAGGGCAGGGCTGGCAAATGTAATTAACCCTCTAAGGCAGTGGTTCTCAATACAGTTCCTCATGTTGTGGTGACCCCCAACCATAAAATTTTCGTTGCTACTTCATAACTAATTTTGCTACTGTGATGAATCGTCATGTAAATATCTGATATGCAGGATGGTCTTAGGCGACCCCCGTGAAAGGGTCGTTTGACCCCCAAAGGGGTCGCGACCCACAGGTTGAGAACCGCTGCTCTAAGGAAATCTGTTCAAGGCCGACTTGAATGTCACAACCCAGGGACGAGCCACCCTGCAGCTCAGTCACGGGTGTGAAGGGAGAGAGCCAGGTAACAGGAGGGAGGGCGGACGGGGGCAGTGGGGGGTAGCAGAGCAGGCCTGAGGCCCGGGAAACGACGCAGGGGACCCTCACCTGCGCAGGCCCTTGGTGACGGCGTACATCTGCTGGGCCTTCTCGGCTGCCTCCTGGGAGGTGAGGCGGTGGTTGAACTGCATCAGCAGGCGCTCGGCGAAGGGCTGCCCAGCCCCGTAGATGCGGCCGTAGTTGAAGACCTTGGCGTGCTCGCGGCTGATGCCCACGGTGGCGGCCGTCTTGCTGTGCAGGTCGGTGCCCCTGCTCTTGCGGCCCTGCAGGGTCATCCAGCCGAAGGCCGTGCAGCCTGGGGGCAGGATGGAGGGAGAGGGGCTCAGACACGCCGGCCCCGCCCCCCCTCGCAGCTGGCTCCCTCCCTGCGCCGGCCCCGCTCCTGCCCACCGTGCATGCCCGCGAAGTGGGCGTCTCCCAGCACCGCTGCGATCCACAGCTCCTGCGAGTCCACGTCGGCGCCCACCAGGACGTAGCCGGGCGGGGCCTGCACCATGGCCTTCAGCTCGCTGCCCACTCGGTCGGGCTGCAGGAAGAGACACCCCTTGAGACGCCTACCCACTCCGGCCGGGGGCGGCAGTCTAGCAGCAACAGGCTGGCAGGTAAGGGCCTCCCCACCCTGCGCCGGCCCCGTTTAACCACAGCGGCCGTCACACCTGGTCGGTGTCTGGCCAGCAGCAGGTGCCAGAACGTGCGCGGTTCCTGAAAAGGGCTGACTTGAGAAGCTAGATAAGACCCCGAGTCCTGCCTGACCCCGATCTCGGGGTCCTTTTCCTGCCCCTCACTGAAGGCCCTTGCAACCCCCGTTTCCAGCCACGTCGGAGAGGACGGGGCAGGGACCCGGGCGCAGGCACACGTACCCGGGCGTTGCTGGCGGTGAGCCACGTGGGCTCCACGGCCCGGCGGGTGATGGTGCCGGCGGTCACCACCTGGGGCAGGATGGCCCCGTAGCGGTTTTCCTCATCGTAATCTGGGTGCCTGGGGGCAGGGGAGAGCACGGGCCTCAGCAGCCTGCTTTGGTCCTAGGACCGCCCGCCCCCACTCCTGTCCCCCAACCACTGGGCAGGCCGTACCTGGTCACAGCACGGGGCAGAGCCGACCTGGGCAGCCACACCACCATCTGGGAGCTGGGGGACAGACAGGCCGAGGCTCAGCACGGCCCCCGGGGCAGAACCCAACCCTCCCACGGGCCCGCACTGCCCACTTCAGGCTGCTCGCGGCCACCTGGGGCCCTAGAATCTACCAGGCAGGAGCCTGTGCCATCTGAGAACCGGCCAGCAGCCTCTGCCCTAATCCCAGAGCACCCGTGCGGCGTCTACCCGCAGCCTGGTCCACGCTCAGGGCAGACGCGAGCCATCAGCACTCTTCCCGCCCTGGGCTGCGGGCAGCCCGCACCTGGACCCAGCCTTCAAGGTGAATCCATTTAGTACGCCCAGCCCCCAGCAGAGGACAGCCCTGGTGCTCAGCAGTTACAGCGACGGGTCCTTTTAGAGCTGGAGGGCGGGGGGGGGGGGTGCATCGGGGTCCTACAATACCATTCTCTATATAAACAGGGCAGCTGAGGCTGGAGAGGGAGGGGGACTTGCCTGTGGACACGCAGCACCAGGACTACAAGCAGCAGGGCCTCCCACCACAGCGGGGCTGTCCGCTCGGCACAAGCTGAGCCAGGGGCCCGGGGGGAGGCGGGGAGGGAGCCCAGGCTGCAGGAACCTGCCAGGGGCAGATGGGCACGTCTGTCCCCCGCGGCGCCCACCTGATCCGTTTGTGGGCATTCCTCCAGAAAGAAATCATCTTGTTGATCTCCAAGGCCCGGGGCCCACTGGCGCCTCCCGGGCCCGCCTGCAGGGTGCCGTCCTCCATCTTGGGCAGGAAGTCCTTGGCGAAGGGGCTGCCCACGTTGCAGCTGTTGCCGTCCTGCGGGCACCGGAAGCAGGGGCTGGAGGCAGGTGGCAGGCCCCTGGCTGGGGCGCCGGTGCCCTGTGCGCTCGGGCGCTGCCTCACAGCCCAGAGCCAGGAGCAGAGCAGGGGGGGCAGCCCGCCCTGACGGCCGCACAGGCA